GGTCTTCAGGATTGGTGGAACAATTAATTGTGGTAATTCAACAAGAACAAAATGCTGAATATCATTATATTGCCTCCTTTACTGTAGCACTTTTTTTTTTTTTTTTTTTCTTTAAGGTTCGTTTTTCATTTATCTGCGTCCTTTTTGTTTTTCATCTATAAAATGTTACGAAATTAATAAAAAAAAAAATGACACCGTAGTTACCAAATCTTGGTTTCATTTTTTTTTTTCTTTTGGACCGTTTTTTGTTTTTCTTTTTTTCTTGCATAGTTAAGACCTTATGTCTTTTTATTCATAACACAAACATGGATGATATAACATAATGTTACTGTGCAGCACTATTGTGTTACTATATTGTATTTCTCAGTATATGTGTGTGTGAGTGTATGTGTGTGTGATGTATGTAATGTGTATGTGTGTTTGTATGTATGGGTTATTCAGTTATTTTATCGTGTTTTAAAACATATAATTGTTGTGGTTCTTTCACAAAAATGGTTTTTAGGATTTTTTTTTTTTTTTTCATTGATTTCCGGAAATATAAGTTGGAAAAAAGGAAACAGATGAAAAAACAAGTGTTTTGCATGAAAGATGAATATTAAACTATTAAGTAAGAATAAAAAATTTTTTTGATGTTAGAATTTTTTTTACAGGGAATAAACAACAATCTCGACTGATCTTTGTTATAAAGCCAAATTAAAATTTCTACCGTAACATCAAAGGGTTAGGACTTAACGAAGCAATTTTGGGTGATCCTTTCTTTTGTTTCGTTATATATTTGTGGATGAGGCGGATTCTTTTTTTTTTTTTTTTTTTTTTTTCGCTATGAACAAAGTGAACTAACGTTCTGAATCCAATACAATTTTCACTATAATCTAATTATTTTCACAATTTAATATATATCGCAATTTTGCATTTTTTTCTTTCTCTCCCATTTTTGTTATCATAACTCGTTTTATTCCGTACTTGATTGTTTTGCTGCAATATGGATAATGATGTAATGTTATGTTTACCTTTTAAGCTTCCAGAAGGGCGTATGTTACATTGAAATCGAGAACATATGTGATGGAAAAAGACGATGTTAATTTGATCCGAATTGTTTTATGCTAATGAGAATTTCACTGAAAATCTAACTTTGCCGCTATGTTTCTTTTTTTAATATGTTATCGTATGCTATAATTATTACGCATACGGATATTTTCATGTCCATTTCTGCAATATTTCAACTATGTCTTATCTTCACTTTACATTATATAAATATTTGTGCAACAGTTTATTTACTGCCTTCGTTTTTTTTTTTCTTTTTTTCATTTTCTTTATCTTTTATTTTTGTTTTATTGCGATAATTATAGATATGACTGGTGAAATTTGGCATTTTCAACGAAGTAATATATACAATCACTTTGTTGAGCCATTCACTATGTGTATGTTCTGACATGCGGCAAAAGGTTTTAATTTCAAGGATTATATTTCTCTTTAGCGTCAATAATTACGGGTTAACACAATTTTTTATGCGCTTCGAGTTGTATTATATTCTTTTTTTTTTTTCTGTTATAGCCTTTTATTCGACATCCTCCTATCGTATTATGTCACAAAAAAAAAAAAAAAAAAGTGCATCTCATACAGGTTTTGGAGCGTTTTTTCTTTTCTTCTTTTTTTAAAATATTTATGTCTTTCCATTTGCATTGTTTTTTTTCCATCTTATATTTTGTTCCGTTTCTCAACATTTTTATCTCATGAATCATACATAGTCCTTTCCTGATTCATAATGTGTGCGTTGTTTGTTATCAATTCACGGAAGCTATCTTATCCTACCTCATCATCTTTTTTAATTATTGTGCCTATATGGCAAAATAGTATGTGATAGGATATGTTTATGATAATATTTCTCAAATCGTTAATGATTTCATGGGGATTTATTTTTATTGTTATTACAAAGTTACTTTTTCTTTCTCGAAATTAATTTTGTAGATGAAAATTAATCGTTGTAAAAAAAAAAAAAAAAGCGGCACATTCATTTTCTGTTCAGTTCATTTGTTTTAGTGTCATTTAATTTCATTATATAATACATTCTCTGCGATAGAATCAGAAATATTCTCTACGTATTTTCCTGATGTTTTTCTTTTGATATAGAATTAATAATTCAAAAATTATAATAAATTGTGTTAGGTACTAAAGATATAGGAAGACTTTCATATATGTATACGATGATTTAATTATAAAAATTTGGAATGAAAGTTTTTGCTGATATTGCAACAAAATTGATATTATTCATTGGTTTTAATAATCATCATACAAAAGCTAAATCAATTACTTTGTTGCAAATTTAATGATGATTTATAGCAAATAATTTTGCGAGTTCCGCATACTCATTTATGATTTAACACACATTTTTGTAATCCCCATGTTATTGTTAAAAATTGAAGTTCAAATAGTTGTTCATCTAATTCACGCTTTATGCCATTTTGTTTTTACTTATGATGGTGAGGTATTTCATTTTGGTTAATCACGAAAATCACAATTTCTTTATATCATTTTAAATTTGACAGTTATAAAGATAAAACATCTGATGAAAATCTTTCAAATCTACAAAAAGCGTTATCAAAATTATTATAAGAACAATATGTAAATTTTCATCAGTGTTGGCTTCCATCATATTTTTATATTTACTGACATTTTGAATGCTTTTGCCCATATGCCTATCAAAAATTAAGAAGTTTTCCTTTTTTCTTCCGTCCCATCTCTGGATCATCTCACTTGCCACACCTGTTGCGTTGTTGTTGTTTTTGTTGTTGTTGCGGTAAGACAACGTAAGAAATATTTGTTTATCTATTAAGCAATACAGTTCAATTTGAATTTATTGGTTAGAATGAAATGAAAAGAGAGATTTGAATATTAATGATTAATTTTTCGTAGTAATACGTAGATATAATTATTTACTAATTAAATGCACGTCTGTCTAAGTTCTGTTTGGTGAGTTCATATTTAAAAAATGTTTTTTCTAAATGGCAGCCTTGCATGTTTGTCATATTCCCTATTATAAAAATGATTGGGAGGTATTACTAAATATTCAGGTGTTACTAAATATTCATACTAAATAATGAAGATTTTTTTTTTAATTTCTCAAAAATTTATTTGATATTTGTAATGAATTAAATGATTAGTTAAATGATGATTTAGTATGAATACATGAATGTTTGCAATATTTATATTATCACTTATCATCATTCATACTTATGTTACATATTTATGTGTAACACACAACGTGGTTGGGTATAATTTTTTTACTGAAATAAAAAGTCAAAAATTAAAAATAAAAATGTGCTCCAGATCATTATATATTATTCATGTTTGCTACACAATATTATGGTTGTTTATTATTATTATTATTATTATTATTATTATTTGAAGTATGAAGGATTTTGAAGTTTTACTTGAAATTATTGATGAATTATCAGTTGGTTGTTTAAATATTGGTTAGTCATTTGTTAAGTATCAGTTTATTATTTGGTCATATGAATGTATTAATATTTTTTTCACTTTTTTTTATTGCGGAGGAGGCAAATAATTGTTCAGTCATTGATCTTCAGTTTTGTTTGTTTTTTGTTTTTGTTTTCTTGAATTATTCATTTCGTTTATGAATAAAATAAATTTTTAACGTACGAGCAATGATTGCTAATGACGCCTTTATTGTTTACATTATACGTATTCCTCGAGATAGTTCCTTGTAAATAAATTTGATTTGACTTCATTTAAAAGTTTTGATGAAATTGAATGAAACATAGAATAAATAAGCTAATTTATCAAAAAAAAAAAGAAAAAACTCCGACGGGTAATGGAAGCATACAGTTATTACTATTATTTTTTTCTTTCTAAACACGTTATAATTATATTTCCTAAACATATAAAGAAATATTTTAATCTTTTTGATCCGATTGTCGTACTCCTCTGAAACCACAAGTTAGTTTATTATAGTAATTTTGATGAAAGGAATCTGAGTAGATTTCGTATAACATTTGACGTATTTACGTCGTATTTAATTTTTATTTTGTTATTGGATTATTTTGTTAGTGTATGATTAAATTAAGCAATTCGAATCATAATTAATAGGAAGTTTGTTCCACAATTCTTCCGGACAATGGATAATAGCAATCAGTAACGACAGTTCAGTATCTGTGTATGTGTTATATCTATGCATCGGTAGTTTCCATAATTAATGGTAAATTTCGGGTATTGATTTTACTGCAGTTGTTTAGAGAGATTTTACGATATTACGAGGGGAAGGTAGAGAGAGTGAATAAGGAAGGGAAGGAAAAAGTGTGTGGAAAAGAAAGGAGGTAAAAGAAAAGCATTAAAATCGATCAGTTTGGATGATGGGTTTTAATGAATCAGAGAAAGAGAAGAGAGGAAAGGACTAATTAAGAGAGGTAAGGTTGTGCACTTTAACATTTCCTACTATTTCTTTATTTCACTATACAACAATGGTCACAAGAAAAACAAAAAACAGAAGAAAGAGAAAAGTGTATGGTAAACGGATATATTACTTGCAGAGTATATCCTTAGTTATGATCGAAATGACCCCGATGACGAATGACAGTGATTCAGTGCAATGGACAAATGAAGAATTATTTCACATATACTTAACCTTTATTCATAATGAATCCAAGTAACCTTGCTTAATATATCCAAATGTAATATCTTAATTTGACGCATTTTATTTGCCGTATTTACGTAATGTTATTGATTACTTATTGAAATTACTCCCATTGACATCATCATCCATTTTACTTTCTCCTTTGCTTTCTCTCTCTCTCTCATAAGCCATTTATTTATTTGTTTATTTACAAATATAATAATAATTTTCAGAAGGAAAATTTTACTCGGTGATTCAACTATTTGAAGAGATGATTTTAACAATAACGGGTTTCATCGTGGATTAATAAGCTATTTGTTAGCCATTTATTATCCAGTTTATAAAAAAAGAATAAAAAAGGAAAAAAAAAATGGCTGATGAGAAGGGTAGCATTTTTGCGTTTGTTTTTCCCAATCAGTTGGAAATTATTGCATCTGAACCACAAACACATAAACAAATAATAACACTCTATAATCCATATCATTTTGCGATCAAATTTAAAGGTTATTATTTTATTTCTTTCTTTTGTTTTCTTAACTGATTTGAAGAAAAAAATTGTTTAAGCTTTTTTAAAAAAGTATGTCTGCTGAACTTCTGCAAAAGCATAGTTTCATAGAATTTTTAATTGAAAGTTCCATCATTTCCTTTACCATTCTTACTGTCTATCAATTTAGGCTATGTTAAAAGAAAGACGATTATATCCATGAGTAAAGTAAATTATCGAACGATTTGCTTTCAAGTAATTGAGAAAAAATTCTAATAATTCAAAATACTAAAGATTGTTGAGTGAAATTTTTATTTAATGTTTTCATGTTGTAACCATTGTGAATGATTAGAATCAGTATTGTAATTCCATTTACAAAAGAAATCAAACTTCTGAATATATGCTTCTAAATATAATTTGTCATTATATTAAGCAAAAAAAAAAAAAAAAAAAAATGAACTGTATTATTTATTTCAGTGAAATGTACAAATTCACACAATTTTTCGGTGATCGAACCATGTGGCATATTGAGAGCATCATGTTCTACTGATATGTAAGTATTATATTTAAAATTTCTTGTATATTTCCAAAATCCTCCTTGTTTTGTTTTTTCATTTGATAACTTTTTTGGTAATATCTAATTTTATCAATTTGATAAATTAGTTTTCAGAAATCTTAAATTATATAGCTGTAATTATATAACAAATTATATAACAGATACTATGGACAGAATTAGATTTATGAAAAGTATCAAATTCTTGCAATGAACTATATTTTTCCTTTTTCAAGTATTATTCGGCATGTTGCTTTACAATTTCAAACAAGTCCTGGTCTAGAAACATTTCGTATCGAAATTTGTTCGTTGCATAATCAAAAGGTAATTTGATTTGTGATACAATCAATTGTTTACACCACTAATGCATTGCATTTATTTTAATTTTACTTCCATTTCTATCAACATACACTCCAGCACATCTTAGTATGCTAATTCTGGTTTTATGTTAGAATTATTCATGAAATGTTATTTCCTTTAATCATTTAAAAAAAATTTTATATCCTACAATATTTTATGGCGTAATTTAATATTTATGGATCTCATTTAATATTTACGATGAAGGTAATCAGATGAATTTTCGGATGAATTAATAGGCCTCATTAATATCACTTCTTATTTTCAGTATATGCTGACTTAACATCATTTCTTGTTTTTATTATATGATGTCAAATTGATTCAAAATTTATTCTTTAAGTTTATTTAAAGATTTCTGGATCGATTGATGTTCCTGTTCACATTGTGGAAACTACGCCAAAATTTAGTCAGTCACGATGTTATCAATTGTTACCAACAAGCAGTACTAATCATCCGTCTGTTCGTGGTAGCACAAATTCAGCTCAGGTATTCATTATTTCAATATTGTTCTTAGAGAATCTTTTTTTTTTCTTGAATTGATGCATAACAATGTTTATATGGTATCCATTTGTACATAATGTAACTTAGAGAAAATGTTGATTTCACTGAACGTCTTGCTTGTTTGTTAGCCTTAAGATTGCACTGAAAACATTGGAAATTAAATTAAAGAAAAACATTTGAATTTTATACTATTTTTCTTCTTTTAATATAGATGACTTTGAAAATTTTATCCTTATCAAGAAACTATTTCATGATTAAATTAAGTGAAATAGTTTACACTTTTTTTTTCAAATAATTTTTTCCAAGTGGTGAGTAGTATTTAGATTGGATTTGCAGAATAATTGGTTATTTTAATAAGATTAGATATGATATGTTAGAAAAGAAAAAAAAGAAAGAAAATTGGCCACGTGATTTTTTTTCCCGTTGTTATTTCATTTTTTGCATTTCCTTATTCTCTTTTTACTTCACTTTTTTTCTAATTCTATTTTTCTTTCTTTTTGCAGTCTTCGCCAATTTTGCGAGCACATTTCGATGTAACTTCACCTTTGGTAATGATATGTGTTGGTGCGGTTATCGTATGCGCAGTTGCATTGATGCTTCCAACTGAAGGACTGGATGTATCAACAATGATACCGGATTGGTTACATATTTCCGTTCATCTTAAATTAGTTTTCGCCTATATTTTAGGTCTCGTTACATTGGTTCTACTAAGGCCAGGTTGATTAAATACTGATTACTTCTATAATAATCCTAACATCTTTATTAGATTATTGTAATATCTTTGTAAAAAAGAATGTATCTTTTATTATGCTTTATCATATAACTTTTTTTCTCTATACTTTTTTCTTTTTTTCTTTTTGTTTCTGCTATCACTTTTTTCTATTTCGAGTGGTATGGAAAAAAAAAGGTGTGTACAAATTACATATATTGTTTTAAACATGTAATTCTCGAATTTGATTTGAAATAATCTGAAGTTAGAAGTTCAAATTTGAAGAAATTCATTTTCAGCTATAAAATAAAATTTGGTTTGAATGCTATTGTACAGATTTTGAAATCTCACTTCTTGCCATGCCTAATTTTATGTCTTTCAATAGATTTACAAATGTAATAATCTATATGTCTTGCATAACATATATTAATTTAATTTTCATTCGTTTCATTTGTCTGAAAATAATGAAAACGAACAGAAATCTAAAATTATTTTTTGAGCAGTTATAAGTTTGTTTTCACTTAACCAAGAAGTAGAAGTGTAACAGAATTGAATGAATCCGAAACGAATTGTTGGACATCTACTAGTAAGCCTTAAAAACTGGAAACACTGTATATATAGTTGCTTTTATTTGCTACACTTTTGTATGATTTATAAAGTTATGTATTTTGTTCAGTACTTTTGGCACTCTAATGTAATAGTTTTAGTGACCTTTCTATCATACATTTGGATAACTTTTGTAATATTTATACTTTTCAAGGATTACTTAAACTGTCCATGTGGTTTTCCTGCAATATATAATTTTGATAAAATCTGCTACATATCTTCAATCTCTGATATCTTATTGATTATTAATTAATTGCATCATCCTAACTTTTCCCTAACTCCCATTCTCCTTTTTATCATACAGCTTTGAATTAGATTTTTGGAATTTCAAATTTCTTGTTTATAAATTAATAACTTGTTGCTAAAATTAATTTAAAAGATTTTCACCCATTTATTTTGCTTCTAACTTGACATTTTGCAATCAGATGATTCAATTTGTAACACATGTAATATTTGTGAATATTTTAAGAAAAAAAAATTTGTTCATAAACTCTTAACTACCCGCTGCTACCGGAACTTTTGCATTTCAAGAAGTTGATCAATGTTCGGATAAGGATTCGTTTTGTAAACCACCATAAAAAATCGAACGGTTTGCTTGTTCCTAGATATCGAGTAAGAAGAGTTCGGTTAGTACCAGATATATTAGCTCGTCCAGTTCCATGAACATCTGTTACACCACCTGTTGGCTTAACTATAGCTCTCTTATTGAATGTTACAAGTAAATCAAGTACGACACCATTAGTCCATCCAAAGCCATACTGAAATACTAATAACAGAATAACAAAGTTGAAATACTAATAACAAAATCATCATACCTGATTTTCATATTCGCCACCTTTAGCAGCTCGTACATATTCTTTTGCGACATCGTATTTTTCCCACATTTTATGATCTTTTTGATATAGAGCATAATTTCGATTAATCCATTTATTGGCAATTTCAAATGCGCGCTGTTGCATTCTATAATATCATTCAGTAACTATCATAATTTAACTTTAATCTTGATTGTATCAAAAAGCCAGTTAAAAAAAAAAAAAAAAAAAAAAATAAAATTTTATCTTCATTACTATACATAATAATTCCTCATGTTAATAGCTCGAAAACACCTAATCTTATTTATTATTTTAATAATATCGTTGACAACATCTAATTCATTTAAACTAATTAAATATTATATTGCTGTCGTGGAAAGGATTTATCTCATGATAACGACAATTTTTAAACTTTTATATATGGGTCATGTTTCAATTATAATATTGTTATTTTATAGTTAAGACATAAATTTATACAAATTTATACTGTCGTATGATATTGATAATTGTTAATGATTAACTCTTCTTTTTCCTTTTTCTTTTATGAAATTTTTTTTTATACCATGAAAAGAAAGTGACAAACGTTGGATTATTTGATTTACGTAATCCTTCAATGATCATATGATTTATTGGTGCCCAACCATTTGGATAATCCCATTGTTGATTGGTACTTTTCATTAAGCTATAGTGGATTAAAATTATAAATAACAACAAGACGAATGAAGAATTATGTCTGATACTAGAAAAAAAAAATCTGCTCGAAAAGGAGTTGGTAATAGAAATTTAATCTAATCTAATAAAAAGAGATAGAAATGAGAAAAGAAGAGCAAAAAAAGAGAAAAAAAATTTTTCTTATTGCTAAAATCTAAAATTTTACTTAATTATTACATCCTACTTCCAATCATTAACTAATTAATTTGAATTTGACCTTTATTTTAAACTCAATTGAAAAAATTTTCAAAATTAAGTATGAATTTAACATTTAATAAATGAAACAGTAGCGTTAATTCTTTTTTTCTTGTTCTTTATTTTAAATTATAATTATTGTAACCTTGCTGGTGTGCCACCGGGAAATTGTAATAATCCTTTTCGTTGTAATGTTTCTAAGACATCAGCCACCATAGCACTGTTTAGCATATGATAGCATTCGGTAAAAAGTGGTACAGCTAACGATGGATATGCTTCATCGTAATGCTCACCGGTTTTTAGGTTTAAGTCAAACCATGCACCTTCACGTGTATCAAAAAAGACTGCTTCAAATGTATCCACAAAATTTGATCGTTCTCGATTTAACTCATCGCGCCGAGTGAGATTACCTAATAATAATATAACTTACTACCTAATAATA